TTGCTAGTAGTTACCGCTGGAGAGGCTGCATCCAGAACTGTCGCTCGATTTGGAGCACATGTGTGGGCACCGATCATGCACTTGTATGTGCTGACATGTGGATGCGTTTTGGCGGACGCCTACGACGACGCTGTGAGCGCATTAACACCAGCCAACTGACAAATCCAACTGTTCTGAATGCGTATCGAAGTACGCTGACATGTGAGTTGAGTAAGCGCTCACTGGAGACAATTGATGGTCACTGGTCCCATGTTCGCCAGACCTTACTAGCAGCCGACAAATCCTCATGTGGTATGTCTAATATCCAACATGGACGTTGGGTATCTTCGCGGTAACTGGAACTGATCTATACTCGCCGGCACATCCCGGCTGGAAGCGAACACAATGAAACTCGCAAAGAGCTCCAGGTAAGACTCCGTGCCAGCCTGAAGAGAGACCGCGAATTTTGGTGGTCTCATCGTGCGTCAGAGATGGAAGTGGCCGCTGTCCTTGGCAATCATCGTAAGTTATTCCGTCTGATACGGGAAACGGGCAGCAGGAGACCTGGTGTTAATGAAACCATACGTGACGAGAGTGGACAGCCTATCCACAATTCGTCAAAACGTTTGGAGCGATGGGCTGGGCATTTTGAAAAGCAATTTATTCGGCTAGAATTGTTCGATTCTTCGCCGGCCAGTGCTCGCCCTGCTCCGTGGGCTGTCCCTTTGGATCCACCCTCTCGTTCAGAAGTCGAACGTGAGATCGGACTGTTGAAGTTGAACAAAGCCGCCGGACCAGATGATCTTCCTCCAGCCCTCTTCAAATTCGGCGGCTGTATTCTTGTTGATGGTTTATATGAATTACTAGTGAAACTGTGGGAGCAGAGCACTGTCCCAACCGACTGGAGCCGCTCCGTTATTGTTCCCATCTTCAAAGGAGGCTCGTGTTCGGAATGCGGCAGCCATAGAGGAATCAGTCTGATCTCCATCACCTCCAAATTACTCGCCTCCATAATTCTTCACAGACTGACTGGCGCTCGTGAAAGCCAGATTCGTGAAGAGCAAGCCGGGTTTCGTCGGGGTCGTGGCCGCATCGACCACATCTTCACCTTGCATCAGTTATTGGAGCACCGTCACACATATTGGCGGCCTACCGTAGTCGTGTTCCTCGACATCAAAGGTGCCTTGGATTCGGTTGATCGACGTGCCCTTTGGAATTGTCTACTCAGGAAAGGTGTGCCCGAGAAATATGTAAATATTATCCGAGCATTATACGCGCGTAGCACGGGCAGAGTGAGAGCTTACGGCAAGCTGTCGCCACCCTTCAGTATCTCCAGCGATGTGAGACATGGATGCCCGCTATCACCTTTCCTCTTCAACTTCGCTATTGACGAAGTCATAGAGATTGCATTTATAGGACATGACTTAGAAGGTGTGGAGCTACTCCCAGGAGAACGACTTCTTGACTTGGAATATGCAGACGACTTTTCCCTCATCTGTGACAACTCCCAGACGTGCCAAGCGGCACTGGACAGATTAGCACTGGCTGTCAGCCGCTTCGGGCTTTGCTTTGCACCATCGAAGTGCAAAGCGTTCCTCCAAGATTGGCAGGGATCGCCTCCTGCTCTGATCCTTGGTGGGTATCAGCTAGAAGTTGTTCGGAAATTCAACTACCTGGGAAGTTGTATCAGTGCCCGTGGGATCGAAGACGAGATCACGAACCGTATAGCAAAAGCTCGAGGAGTTTTTTCTAACCTTCGCCACGTATGGCGGCTGCACGACATTACTCTCGCCCTAAAGGGTAGAGTGTACAATGCAGCGGTACGTTCGACCTTACTGTACGGTTGTGAAACCTGGCCCCTAAGATCGGCGGACATGAAGAGGCTAGTTACGTTCGACCATCGGTGCCTTCGCAGTTTGGCCCACATCTGGTGGGAACACCGCGTGAGTAACGAGCGTGTTCGACGCCTTGTTTACGGCACAGGAAAAGGAACTGAACCGCTCAGCACCGTTATTTCACGCACCAGGTTCCGATGACTCGGCCACGTGTTGCGCATGCCAGCCCACCGACTCCCGCGACGTGTGTTGTTTGCGCGCCGGGGATGTGGATGGAAGAAGAGGAGGGGTGGCCAAGCGATGACTTGGTCGAGAGGAATGAAGGCCCTCACTTCTGAGCTGGCCTCGGTTGGAGTGTCACGACTCCCTGGTTGGGGTCCAAAAGACGGTGAACACGTTTGACTGGATACACTTGCTGACATGGCAAGGAGCCGACCTCAGTGGCGTTCGTGCTGTGAGTTTCTTTGTCCCTCCCCATTCCTTTTAGCCTCCCCCTCCACCTACGATCTCATTTCGTAGCGTAAAACATAATAATTTTTCTTTTGGCCTAGTAGCCGGCTGGTAGCTTACCGGAACGATGCCTATCCGTTGCTGGTAGCTCAGCTGGCATGCAACTGTTGTATTTATTTTCCTTTTCTTTTATGTATTGCGGCATAGTAGCTGAGGTGTTTCCCACCTCTGGCTGACGTGTATAATGATGATGATAATGAAATACTTTATCCAACATGTGAGATTTGCTTCAAAAAAACATGTTGGTTATACTTTTTAAACCATAGGTGTCCTAATATCCAAATGTGGCCACTTGTCGAGGATACAGGCTGATGTTTCCATAGACAAGAGTGACCTCTGCAGAAATGCCTTCTCGCTGAGTACTAAGTCTTTTGGACAAACGTTAACTCGGGACGGTCGCATCGACCTTGATCCTTCACAGGGCAGAGGATTGCGGATCGACTTAGTTCCTGAGCCGAGATGAGACTTAGTTAAAAGTGAACTTTTCAATTACTGAATGAATTTCCTCCATTGTGCCCTGGAAAACACCGTTGGGCCCGGGTAATGGCCTAGAGGAACTGATCGAGCAATAGAGAGACGCAATGGTGTTTTGAAAAATCTTCACGGATCCAGAAAGTTTACATTTTGGCTACCCTACTAAAAATGCCGGAATTCGCCATTCGAATTGCAGAGATCAGCGAAATGTTGTTATGGGTTCAGCTTAGCACAGAATGTTAAGGCAAGACTGAAGATGTGTTATAGTTACGTTTAGACTTTCTTTATAGAGGGAGTCAGTGACCTAGCGAAGGAAGATGCTAATCATTCTTCAGAGAGCGTGGCTAAGGTGGGGATGTTGCTGCGCGTTTTTCAAAATTTGAGTCCAGTTGATATTGGGAGTCCTGCCCCTCTCGGCCACACTGTCCAATCGGTAGTATAATACATGATCCCAGACTACTGATCCATTTCCACGTGCGGTAATCCCAATTTGTTTGAAGTGTGATTCACTGTATTGTACTGTACGGTTGTGAAACCTGGCCGCTTAAAGCAGCGGACCTGAAGAGGCTAGTTACGTTCGACCACCGGTGCCTTCATAATTTAGCTCACATCTGGTGGGAACACCGCGTGAGCAACGAGCGTGTCCGACGCCTTGTTTATGGCACGGGAAAAGGAAATGAACCGCTCAGCACCGTTATTTCACGCACTAGGCTCCGATGGCTCGGCCACGTGTTACGCATGCCAGCCCACCGACTCCCGCGACGTGTGTTGTTTGCGCGCCGGGGATGTGGATGGAAGAAGAGGAGGGGTGGCCAAGCGATGACTTGGTCGAGAGGTATGAAGGCCCTCACTTCTGAGCTGGCCTAGGTTGGAGTGTCACGGCTCCCTGGTTGGGGTCCAAAAGACGGTGAACACGTTTGACTGGATACACTTGCTGACATGGCAAGGAGCCGACCTCAGTGGCGTTCGTGCTGTGAGTTTCTTTGTCCCTCCTCATCCCTCTTAGCCTCCTCCTCCAGCCACGATCTCATTATTTAACCTTATATAATTTTGCATGGTAATTTTTTATGCCTAGTAGCCGGCTGGTAGCTTACGGGAACGATGCCCATCCGTTACTGGTAGCTCCGCCGGCTTGCCCCAGTTGAATTCTTTTCTTTTCTCTCCTTTTTTCTGTGTATTGCGGCACAGTAGCTGAGGGGTTCCCCACCTCCAGCTAACGTGTATGATGATGATGATGATGATGCGGTTGTCCCAAGCACATCGCGTGAATATTTCTGCCTCCTTTGGTGATGTAGAACACAATGAATGGCCAATCAACCCAAGGTCAACTTAATAGCCCCATACATCAATGTAAGGAACGGAGTAGTGGCTAACGGCATCCAACCTTGGGTTGACCTTCAACTAGCTCCTGCTCCGACACTGCTTTCACTCCTGCACTGATGATGTCACATCGAATGGTGATGAAACATCTGCAATCAACTTACGCAGCTCAACGAACACCACACTAACTGAATAGTGCTAGCTACTCTACTAGCACCACAGGTTTTTGATATACTTGCTGGTTTATACTCTGACATTGTCAAACCACTAACTGATCTACTTTAATAAAGTCTCACTTCGGAATGACAGACTACCACAAGCTTGGAAGGATGCATCTGACAGGGTGATATACAGCCGTACTCGTCAACCGTAGGCCTGTTAACCTCACAAGCTTCCTGCTCAAATTCTATGTGGGGCTCATTAGAATCCGAACTTGTGAGCACTTAGTTACCCATAACTTTATAAGAGCGGAGCAGCATTGCCTCATCAAAAAGTCATGACATACTAGTATGTTAGGATAGGGCTTCATTTAACTTTAGCAAGGCTTTTTACTCGGTAAAACGTCGCTGCCTTTTAGAATAGCTGATATGGTCTAGGCTAATTTCACAACTTGATGTACTCATGAGTAGGGGATTTTGATGTAATTATGCGAGGTTCATCGCGGCCAGTTTCCAAATCGGATAGTCGTCCACATGCCCGAAAAAGCACTAGACTGCAGTTTCAGCCTGCTGGACATCGTCAGTAGTGCGCATCCATCGGATCCGAAGCTGTCCCCCGTGGCCCAGTGGCATAAGCTGCTGACTAGCGGTTCAAGCCGCTAGTGGTCATGGGTTCGAATCCTGATGGATCCGGTGGATGTGCACTACTGACGATGCCCAACAGGTTGAAACTGTAGTCTAGTGCTTTTCCGGGCGTGGACGACTATCTGATTTGGAAACTGGCCACGATGAACCTCATTTAATAACTCCACAACTGTTGACTTGTGTAGCAGTTATTCCTTCTGGGAGAACCTTCTCTGTTAAAGTTTGTAAGACAAGCTCAAACTTGGGCATGGCTCACAGCGGTGTTCCCATAGTTCTAGGCCCACTGATGTTTCTCGTGTTTGTGAATACTTGACTACTTCAGGGCACTTGCTACATATTTGCTTATGATCCAGAGCTCCTCAATAGGCATAATCGAGACATGCTATTTAAAGAGCTTTGCACTGCAATGAAATAGTGGGATTTGCAATGCATCTCATCTGTTGACTTCCAGTGGCGATCGCAGTGCAGACTACGTGTTGCGTATGTTAGCACACCGATTCTCGCGATGGGCGTTGTTTTCGCGATCGGGACCTGGATAGAAGAGGAGGAGGGGATGCCAATCGATGACTTGGTCAAGACGAATGAAAACCCCCTCACTTCGAAGTTGGCGTCGGTTTGTGTGTCCCGACTGCCGGGCTGTAATTCAAAGGGCGATGAACACGTGTGCTTGAGCGCGCTTGTTGACATGGCAAGGAGCTGACCTCACTGGCGTTTGTGTTATGGTTTTCTTCGTCCTCCCTGTTTAACTTCCCCTCCAACCGCAATCTCACTCCTGATGCGTAATATATCACTTGTTTTTTGGTTTTTATTTTGTATTTTATAATGATTAGTATTTCGTTTTTCAAATAAGTTATCTTTTTGTACTGCGGCCCAAGGGCCGAGGTGCTTCTGGTCTTTGACTAGCACGTAATGATGATAATGATGTTGCATTTGTTGGATCTTGTTGCTGAGATTTCGTGCCTCATGCAATTACGGATGTTGCTTTTGTTCTTGCCTTACTTCCGCAGAAGCAAAGAAGCCAATTAGACGTCAAAATACCTGGGCCCTAGTTTGCTTGTGGGTACACGAAACAAGGCGCTCCTTAGGCGGAATTCTGTATCGTCCTTCGAGCGTGACCTAACCTGATTTGTGCCTTACCGCGATACCTTCCGTCTTTTCATTTGCATCAGTGCTCAGTCACCTGGTATGCAATGATCAAGGCTTTGCAATGGCTTCTGGCGTTAAGCCTCATCAGTTCTCTCTGGATTTCCAAACTTTATGGTTTAATCAGTGTCCAGTTTTCACCAGTATGCTCTCTGGCCCTTGATTTTCTGCCCTTATTTCTGTTGTCCATCTTTGTATTATATTCTGCAACTGTGATTTTGTACCGAACATTTACTTTCAATGACTGTCCTGAAGCCGCTGAGGAGCTTGCATCCCAGATTCCCGTCGCCAAACTTGATTTAGAAAAGAAGGGGTTTTCATTCTGAGGTTTTTATTTCATCTTTAAATATAACTGTGTTGCAAATTTGCGGGTTTTCCCTTGGAGACATTGGTTCTTACCTTTTTCCATCTCCATCTAATATTAGGCTAATTGTGCTTGGTAACGTTGGACAGATTTTTATGTTGCTCCATCCAATGGCTTTCTTACTATAGGTACCAAACCGATCGTGGCCAATATTTTGCCTTATGGTGGTGCGAAAAACATGCCGAAGGGTGCAGCGGTATACGTCATCCTTTTCACCAGCGACTTCATAGCAGTTGCGTTTGATTTGAAGCATAATCGGTTTTCTAACAAAATCCCTGCTGCTGGTGAAGTGGAAAAAGTTAGTCGTTCATATTCATCTCGATCATGTAGTTGAGGAACAAAAGGATATGACTTTGTTGACTTAATCTACTGTCCTGATTAACTGGAGTGTTGTCCGTAAACCCTAGGAGCCGGTACTTACCAGTCCTGAATGGGGCACTTATTTGAGTGCCGAGATAGGATGGCCATAGGACCAAGTACGGTGGATTACGTTTGCAGGAGACATGAAGACGGAGGAATAAAGCGGACAATCTAACCGACACAGGCGGACAGTCAGTCGTCTCATTTCGACTTGTTTTCTTTCACTGGTACAACTACGGAGAAAATAAGACAAAAAGGACGCGTAACGTGCAGCTGCAACATTGTATACTGTAATGCATCGTTAGCGCCACTACTCGTCAGTCTACAGCCGAAGCTAAAAGGCCAAAGGTCACCGGCTCGAGGTGCTGGCGATTTCGCGGTATGCTTAGTCTGCGCGCAACTTAAGCAAGTCGAATGGCAGCGAAGCGGTGTGGCATGCCGGCGTACTGTTGGTATTATTTTTAACACCGGGCGTTTGTTGTGCACACTAAAAGCTATGTGTACTCTTAATGACAGTAAAATTTAATCATACTCGCTGCAGTAAGGGATAACTGGCTTAAACCTGAGGGCGACGGGAGTTGTATCGGAGCTAAGGTCACGATTCAGTCTGATAAGTGGAGCTTAGCCATTGCTTAAACGTGTTGGTTGCCTTTTGTTTAGTTAGCGCCTGGTCAATGCTTCAGGTGAAATTGGGGTTTCGCGCTGCACTTTGCGCAGCGTATTGACGTGTTACTCGGGAGTTTTAGGATTAGCACTGAATTTCATCGCTAAATCTTGTTGATGCATGAGTTGGTACTCGCAAACCAATTCAATACAGTAATTTCGTTCAATTATATATACCTTCCAGGCATGCGCGCGCGGACAGGCCTAGTAAGCGCGCCAGGCGGAATCCATTAAGGCCATGCATTTTCTAATCCGGTTCCTCAAAAGGTAGTTCGTTTGCTTCGGGCGAATAATTTTGGTTTCCGATGCGTTTGCCGCTAACCCGGCGAACCGGGTGACAAACCTTTTAGCGACATCAGGAGGCTCTTCGGCTAGGAAATACCAGTTGCCTACTTCTACGAGGTTAGACAGGTTGTCATAATTTGTGAAGCCGTGGGCTTCCCCGATGCTTCCATTGGTGTACTCCACGTAGCAGATGTAACGGAAGAGCAGCATTGCAGGATCTCCGGTCAAATGGTGTGTCTATGATTACGGTATCGACCATTAGTGCCTCGTTAGTAGACACGAGGTATAAAGCAGACGGTTCGTCACCAGTTCCTAATCGCTTGGGAAAGGTGATATGATTGTATAGCGGTAAACCAGCGATTACCTATTTTTAGTCCGTCTTGTTCGCTGAGAGAATCTGGGACTTCGATAGCATGCAAGTTGAAGTCCCCCAACTGACAGACATGACCGCACCAGGACTCACACCCGGATAAGATGTAGCGCAGATGTAATATTCTTCCACCGCGCAGGATCAGCGACGCTATTCCGTGCAGGTACCCGGTCTAATTATGTCGGAGCAACAAAGATTTATATCTCCTCGCTCTCTAATTTCAGTATTCAGTTATTATCCTTCTGGTATTACCATCTGTCAGATGCTGACTGGCGATTCGAAGCTATATATTCGAGTGTTGGAAAGGCGTGGCGACAGCACAAGCACAGGTAGTAGCAAGCAAAAGTAGCACGACGCGAGCGCGTTGAAGATGTGTATTCACATTCCGTTATTTCAAATAAAGGAAACCAAATGGTAGGAAGTGATAAAAGGAAAATTAAAATATAGTGTATTCGACTTTGCCACATTATCGACTCGTTGTTGGTCCTAGGGTGAGTTACCTCGTGCAGGTCTTCGGCGTGGATTCGATTCGGTTCCTTAGCACCGTGCATTTTACCCACAGCTTTTGTGTCCATACTTGTCGGGTGAACCTTTGTACCAGGGGAAATTTGGAAAAACCGCTTATTTATCGTTAGAGCCCTCGTTACGACAGATGGTACTGATTGCGCAACGCCGCACAAACATTGCAACTTCTCATCCGTTATATCATTCGTGGTCTAGACTTGCTCCTACATTGATATCAGACTTTAAGCCGCCTCATCCTAGGAAGAGCACCTCGGCCACCTTTGGTCTCTGCTTCGGCGGTTGACTCAACACGATGTCACCATTAACTTTGATAATCATGAACTTGGAAAGTCGACGGTAGAAATCCCAGACAACCTTTCCTTTCATCTGGTATAGAGGCTTTTCCTGATAATTTCTAGTTAATTAGACTTCTGAGTTCCCACGACATTCAATCACCTCCTTCCATCTTGTTGTCTGGTCAACTACTGTTGGCACTTCACTCCTTACTGCGCTCAGCTCGCGCGTCCCCGGACTTCAAGTAGATGAGCGCAAGTTCGCTTTTCCAGAAGCAACCCACAGCTTTTACTGAACTTAAGGATGCTATCTGTAACCTAACTCTCCTCGTTCATTCTAAAGCGTTTTCCACCCTATTACGACTGGTGCCTTAGACGTCGTGTCAGGTGCTGTCCTCTAGCAACAAGTTTATAAGTGACAATTTCTTGATTTTACCAAGCTCCTGCACCCAGAGTAATCCCACCACCACTCTTTTGGCCGAAAACTACTTTTCCTCCACCACTTCCGTCAGTTCGCGATTACATGATCTACACTGATCAAAGCTCCTTCTCATCGCACGTAACTCTTCTTCCGACGGCCACCCATCACGGGAGACTAGAAGTTTAGACTTTGTCATTCACTTCTGTCTCAAGCGCCGGAAAGCCCCCGTCACCGACACTCATTCACATGCAAGCCTCACTCTTTCCCTACCATTGACATCGCCGCCACGGCATTGACTCAGGCTGCGAACGAGAATCTTCAACGCCTGTGATCCACTTCACCGCATGTACAAGCCGTTCCTCTCCAAAATAGCAGATCAAGCGATCCTGCGCGATACGCGAGGTTTTCTATTTCCTTCGCTCCTTTCTACTTCAAACGCACTTTTTCATTTGTATGAAACTTCAGTTAGCGAAGAGAGCTCTTTTCAATAACTCTCATCAGGCCATTACAATTATTAGAAAGAAACAAGCAACACAGTATGTCAGTGAAAGCTAGCTTGAAGACTGCTGCTGTTTGAACGAGACTGGTAAAATCGATCAATAATTAGGCCGGTCCACTGGAGGTAGGCTACGCAGCCGACGTTACGCTGCTGGTGTCTAATATCATGTAAAAGTCGGGGGACCAAGGTAACAAGAGGGCTTGCAGCAGGGCTTTCTGCTTGCACAAATCAGTTTGGATCAGCGTGAAAGCGATCGCCTGAGCCGTCTTTCTGAGCGCTTTAGGGTGACGCAGCGGCACGGAATAGAAAACGCTGAACACGTCTGCTATGCGGATTTCATGTCCGCTCAGGAGTAAATGCTCAATGATAACGCTATTGATGCTTCTGGGCAAGCCTCTTCGTAGCGACACAAGGCCGTGATCTACCTATTTTGACAAATATTTGGTCATGTGTCCAATATAACTTGTACCACAAAGGCAAGTAGGTCGATACAGAGCCTATGATTTAAACTGGACCGGGATTCTGTCCTTCAGATGTGTTACAAATGGAGCAGTCTGCGCGATCACACGCGGGTAGGCGGCTGGGTAGGTTTTGGCCACTGCGCTTGAGAGTCTTCTCTTCAGTAAGTCAAAAGCGGCATCCCCTTTAAATGGAACTGAGAGAAATACGTCTTTTTGATACACTCTCCGGCATTTCCTGACTCAGCCGGATCCTAGTGTGCTTCTTGATAAACGGGCTATCCGTTCTCTTGCAACGTTCTGAAGATGCGATCTTTCTCTGCATCAAGCCTTTCCGGACTACATATTCTGGCGTCACGATAAAGCAAGCAACGAACTAGGTTCCTTGTGTTACACAGGCACAAAGCTTAAGAAATGGGTGTATTGGCTGACCAATTCTCGTATCTGGGCTTCCTTGAATCCGATTTATTTTCTTTGACTACACGTGAATAAGGATGTTCATACTTGGACTCGCATTTGTCTTCAGTATCAGCGCTTCTCATCATTATCATCAGTACACGTTAGCTG